TACTTGCATAATATACTCCATTTTCAATAAAGAATATACTATATACTTGTCTGCTGGCGTTTGGTGCAAGGTTCAAAAATAATAATCAGATATATCTGTGCAGATAGCGCTTTCATCGATATTTTGCGAGACATTGCGACGGTATGCTGACGCGGGAGATCAGTAAAGCTTAGCTTAAGCCTTACTACCACATCTTTGCTAGGGATCCTATTGTTCTATGAAGTCCTTGAACGCACAGTATCAGAAAGGAGAAAAGTATGTCTACTTTATACTGGATTATATATGGCCCAATATGTACCATCTCAGGAAAAATCTGTACAATGGTATACACCTCATATATAATAAGTATCTCTGTATCACAATAGAATAAAAATATCATGCTTCCTGATCACGAGCCGTACTACAAATACACATCAGCCTTGCGCTCTTGAACACACCATGCTCAGTCATCTCAATGCCATCAACTTCTCCAAAGATATCTGCATCGTGCGGTACGTCGGGATCATTATTCAGAGGACTGTATTTGTCCTTGTCACTCTTGGTGCGATCATGCATGACCGTTTTGACGGTCATTCCCCTTGAGCGAGGAATGGTGTATAGAGCTGATTATTTGGAGTATAGCTATGGAGATAGAATCAATTGATATGACATAACACCAGACAAACTCGTACAGCTAGTATCTCAACGGATAGTTGTAGTTATTTTAAGTTGGTTAGAGCTACTAGTCTTATTGTACATTACTTAGTCTACTTTGCTTGTCGTGTCGCTATGTATTCTTCGACGTATAGAGACGATCTCTATAATGAAACAGAATGCGATCAGCTATACATACTTCTCATTATCAAATATGTATCTTTTTTTTATGATATGAGCATCTAATTATAGATAAGAGTAATATAAGAAATTGAAGCAGAAAGTTAAGGGCCTGTTGGAAGTTCGGTAGTCGTAGCCATAGCAATTTGAATTCAAAAGCGAATCAAAATGTTACTGAAAAGCTGCAACGAGCTCTTCGTTTTGTACAATGATAACGAATGTTTTTAGATATTGCACAATATGTACTTCATCTTGCAGCTGCTCTGTTACATATACATCGGTAATGGATAAATCCCTCGACACATACTCATGATACACAATTAGCTTGATACATTATTGGACCACATATGTATCGGAGAATATTCCACGAACGAACTACACACACACATCTATACAAGAGCTAGGTCTGGCACGAACGAAACATTACGCAACCATTATGAAGTTTCGTCCAATGTTGTGTTTAGTGCTAGCTCTCATCACTTTCTACTGCGTATACAGCTATCACGATGTATCCCTCGACTCTACATATGAAGAGGAAATAAGGGTATGCATTATTCTACTTTTATCTACGGTCCCTATCGGATTCGGGACATAATATATATGTATATAT